TATTTTTCGATAACTAACAACAGCGATTTTGATTATGAATTTGTTTTATAAAATTCTAAGCTGTTGCACTACAAAAATATAGATTTTAAGAAAATTGCTAAAAGAGATCTGCCAAAATTATTTTCTAGAAGATTTGAAAAGTTTGAAAAACTTGATGGCTAAATGTAAATATAAAATTATGTATGTTAAAATATTTGTAATTAGGCACATAGGTCAGATTAAGTTTTATTAAATAGAGTAACGCATGCAAGGGCTATCTGCCTAAAGAGAGAGATGCCATCGTGGAGGAATTTTGAAGAAAACTGACCTTTGAGTGGGTATTAAAAATAATACTTATAATTTTCATTCAAATTATATTCATATATATTTTTTATCTAAAACTTTCGGGTGTATGCTAAATTAATGTAAATTACTTTACACGAAAAATATAGTGAATGCACAGAAATTAAAGATTTGCACATGCCGGAAATGATAAATAGGAAATATGTATGGGTATTTATGCATGTGCTTGCAAAAAGCATGTATCTGCCTTTGACAAAATACTTAAATATTCATTAAATTATTTATAAATGTATTTGAAATGAAGAATTTATTCACTTATAAACAACTGTGAAAGTACTGTGAAGAAATCTAATGATTAAATGTATCTAATTTGTAATGATTATAAATGTTATCTAAATATATAATAACCTTAATATTGAATTGTAAACATAAATTGAAATCCTGTTGACAAATACGTTATAAAAACTATTTAAGCAAGAATTTTTCGTATTGGAAAGCAATCTCTTAAAAGGTATTGTAAAGCAAATGCTATGAGATGCGCACTTAAGAACGTAATAAAGAGTTTTGGAATATGTATTGTTGAAATGAAGGGTAAAAAAAAAAATCTGATAAGTATAATTAAAAGAATTATTCCCTTTACATTTTATAATAACTCCGTTACAAGTTTTAAATAATACTTAAAAAAAAAAAAAAAAAACTTATTTTATTCCCTTTCAGAAATGTTCAGAGAAAGTCAAATACTATTTAATACCTATTTAATTATTAGGAATTAGCGAAATACTTTATTTAAAGTATTTCGCTAATTCCTAATAATTCTCTAATTTAAAATGAACCGAATAGAGCATTAATTATAATTGACTTACATTTTTCGATTTAAAAGAAGCCAAAAAATCATGTCATATTTAAGAAAGTATTTTAGGAAGAAGCTCTATAAATAGAAAAGAAATAATGCATAATTTTAATATTAATAATACAACAAACTTTGATCTTAATTTTTGTACCTTAACCGAATAAAATCGAATTACCTTAATTTTTTTTTCCTAATGTAATTAACGAAAACTTGTGAAAATATTTTATTCAAATTAAACCATTCTGAGAAAACTGTCCTGTGAAAAGTATAGCATTTAATTCCGTTCAGAAGGAAATGTTGTTTAAAAATATGTTGTTTTCACATACTTAGGACTCTGAAGTGTTGTAGAAAAAGAAAATATATACATTTATATGTATATATTTGCGACGTAATTACAAATATTTACACACCCGAACGCGTCAAATCCCATAGAACTCAATGGTAAATGACCCAATGTTTTGGTCACCACGTAGGGATCGCCGGTGCTTCAGAGCAGGGTACGGAGAAACTTGTTTAGGGCGACTCCTTCTTACTTCCTACCTCCATGGCTGGTGGGCCACCAATCCGCTTGCAATCCGGCTGGTAGCCCAATATTGTGCAAGGGCTTACGTCGGTTAGTGTACATACTGCTGGACCTCTTGAGTTTAGCATTCGATATCCCATTCATTCTCTTATAGGTGAATACGAGCTGCGTGCCATTCTTGCAATCCGACAATTCTTCTGCGCAAAAGTTTGCCTCTGGCTACCTTTTGCTTTCACTCAAGTTTGTCGTTGTTGTCGCAGCTGCTGAGACACACGTTTCAGTATAATCGCATAACTAACTGCCGACATCAAGTCACAGCAGCATCAGAATAAATCCACGAATTTTATTGAAAGGGTTGAACTTGTTGCCTTGGACACCTTCTAGGTCATAGTGTGAATTCACCCAGCTCCGTCCCAATTTTTTGAAGAACGGATTTCACTCCTCTTCCACCAACCTTTTGAGATGACTTTCGGCTCGGCAGTATTTTAATTGTTTGTACGTCGCGGAGGCACTATAGCAGATAGTTTCCCTACCAGCACGCCATAGAGCGGCCAGTCAGGATTTTATACTATTTAATATCGCTTATTGCAGCGGTTCTCAACCTTTTGACTAACGCGTACCACCTAATCAAAACTTGAAAAACTTCAGTACCATCGCTACATTTTACAATGATTATTTTCCCAATTGTCAATAGAAACATTTAATATATATATATATTGCCATTTGCACTACTTATTGGCTATTTGTATTAAATATGCACACATTAAAATGTTAGATAAAAAAATTGGTTTTCATTTCAGTTATCAAAATTTAAGTTATAATACTTAAATTCTAAAATTTAGATTGAAATTTGGGTCTGTTTAAGGGAGATCAATTTCTTTACGTCTGGCTTTATTTCACTTAGCCTTAACCGTCAATTAGGACGGAAGAAAATCCTTGTTCAGTCAAATAGGTTATGCAAAAAGGCAATAAAAATTTGATAGCTTTATTTAAGATGCCTTTAAATTCTTTTTTCCCGTTCAGCCAAATGTTGACAAGTTGGTCATTTTTGAATTCTTCAATTCGAGTTCGATCACAAGAAATTTATATCAATTGTTTTTTTTATTCACGAAATTTTTGAACATAATAGTTAAATATATTTTATTTCTTTGCGTACCACCTATTTTTCTCTTGCTTACCACCAGTGGTACGCGTACCACCGGTTGAGAATCGCTGGCTTATTGGAAATAAGCGCTTGTAAATTTGATCTTTACTCATGTTATGGCAGTATGCCTGTAAGGATTTTAAGTTTTACTAACGTTTATTTTATTTTAAAACTTTGCTTTCATCTCTTATTTTCCATTTCCGGCCAGAATAAGCGCGATTAGGAATTGTTTATGCTAATGAGGTTGCAAACTGTATGGGTATTTAAGAAGTGGCTTTCAGCCAAGAGAAGAAAGCAAAACATACACTTGCAAACAGAAAAAAGATGGTAAACTAGCAATTTGTGCCCTTTGCGGCGAATTTCGTGTATCTTCTTACAAAGGTTGTAAGAAACATCCAAACAATATCAAAAAATCCCTTGAAGCTGCCAAGAAGAAACGTGAAGAAAATAATCCGAATAATACTCGTAACTTCAATCTCAAGCAAGAAGATTTTTCTGCTCTTAATAACGACCATTCGGAAACCCAAGAAGCTCCTATGTGGAAGAAAAAGACTACAAACCTCTCATTTTTTGAATGGATGAAAAACCATGCAAAAAAAGCTAAAGAACTCCTCACCAAATTTAAGCAAGCGAAACGAAGAAGAAGAGAAGTTAGAAGTAGGCATAGCTGCTTTAGATTACATTTCCAGTATTGATTTGGAATTTTAAATCATGCGAGCTGCACAATAAGTGAAACTAAATACGTTACTATTGTATTTAATGTAAATAGCTTGTATATAGATTATTTAAGTGACTTCAAGCTCATCCCCTACGTCTTGTCTAGGAAGAATTTTCTTCTTCAATGATAATTATTTATCAACTATGGAATGAACTTTCATTTATTGGTTTTTCTCGCTGCGTGCGCGACGCATGTTATCATGTGTCTTTGATTTTGAAAACCAAGCAAGAGTTACGAGTTCGAACCTTAACATACTGTGTATAAGCTCTCGTAGTTAAAACCAGCAAGTAACATAAAGATCCAGATCCAGATCCAGAAGAGTCTCTTGCTGCCCAGCCACGCGTGTGCTTTTCAGCCAGTTCATGTCTGCCTTTAAGGCCAGAACTTAATTCCTGCTGATATTTGAAGACGTATTGCACTTTTTGCAATTTTGCTCACTACATACGTAGTGTCAAAAGGCCAATCTTCGCGTTAATAGTCTCTGTAAAGCATTTAAGTTTAGTTTTTATTTAGTTAAGTTAGTTTATTTCTTATATTCTACATATTAGACTAAAAGTGCTGATCTCTGTATCCCGAAGTACGGGAGCGGCTGTACGCTGTGAGAAATAAAGAGTAAAGTTAACCCTTCTTGTTTCTGTTGTATCTTCTACACACACACGCGCATAGTTTGAGTAAGTTCCCTGCTCCCATTCAGGATTACTAAATGTTCCCAAAGGCAGTTAGAAGGACTAGCAGTCCTGATATACCTACCTAGTATGTATGGCATTATGGCTTTTCCTCCTTGGTGTTACAGTTTTAATGCTGAATTTATACAGTTTTCGTTGCAGTTGAATATTTTTTAACTGCACATACAGCTATGCTCATTTTTAAAGTGTAGGACAGAGATATATTTATAACAATATTTTTCCGAAATAAAATATTTGTTTTAAAATGCGGGGAAGGTGTTTCCGTCAACATTAAATATGATTTGGGGATGGCGAAATAGCATCTACGTGACGTCCTCCATGAAAACAAATTTTTTAACTTACAAAAGGCATTAGTCATAAAGGTGCTAGCACCCTAATGAGATAAAGATTTTCATTTACTTTCTTAATCACAGTAGCAAATCAGAATTCTGCTTACTAATTGACGAGACACGTACTGCTTACTAAGACATAATCTATACGAAGGTTGCTTTTTAAAAGCTAAAAATCTTTCTCGGGGTACCATTGTGAAAGTTCATATATGTGCCGGTAAAGTGACAGGACACCACTATGAAGGAGGCCGCGATTTTAGTCACGAAACTCTCAGCGCTTTTATTAATTTTCTGCAAATAACGCGCTTGTTTCTTCAGCGCGCATACTGTCCTGTCCGAAAACTACCGCGCAAGAAATTCCGAACAACACCGGGGAAAAGTCGCTTAAAGTTGGCACGCGACCAACGCCGTTGTCACGTGAAGAGACCTCTCGCTTTGCGATAGGCAGGTTTTGGCGTCCAATCTGCGCAGTCGGCAGTGGTGGAAGAAGCCGTCCGCCGGCCGAAAGCGCCATCCGCACAGAGATGGTGGACGTCGACCACGTTTGCTCTTCTCCCACCTCCGCGGCCACGGTAAGAAGTTCGCCATGTGCTTTTCTTTGACTTTCGTTCATGCATAATTTTTCTCTGCGAATTCCGCTTTGTGGTTGAGCCGCTTTCATTCACTAATTTTTATTAGTTTTCTTAACTTTCTTTTTCAGTCTTTTCTTGCAGATTTAAAATTTAATTTTTTTTTTGCCTTATAAACACAATAAGGATTAATATTGTATCTAAATTGAATAATTCTTAATTTTATATGAAAGTTTTCTTGTGCCATTGTTAAGTCAATATACAAGGTGCCACAATTAAATCGTTAGATTTTATTTAAAAGATAGCTAGAAAAATGGTAGAGCTAGTTGGGTATATATTACTCGAAATTGTATTCTTTCGCCCTAACGCAAATAGTTGCACGATCTGGTTACGATAGGAAAAACTTGTCTATTTTTAGCAGGGGTCAGTTTTCTAAATCTCTTCGAAGTTAGGAAAAGGTTTCCTTTGAGAAGCAGATTTAGTTTTGGAAAGAGACGGTAATCACAGGGGGGCAAATCTGGAGAATTGGAGGGATGGCTGAACATTTGATTCCGGACCTTTAATTGCTGAACGCTTACCGACCTGTCTGAGGTCGTATTGCCATGCAGTACATCGCATTCGGAACCACGTTTCTGATTGTATGAAATAAAATGCAGCTTTAAAAATCGCTTACTTAATGTAATTTGATTCATCAGCTTTACAAGGGATTTAAAAAAAAAAAAAAAAAAGAGAGTCATTATTTAATTGCTACTCTGCGTAGATATCACTTCGCAGATAGAAAGTTTTTTTTTTTTTTTTATATATATAGGTGTAAAAAGTGGCTAAATATAGGTACGTAAAACACATTTATTAATCACATTCATCATCACCTACTGTTGGTGGTTAATATAGGTGCGTAAACAGATTTTATACTATTGCTTGATTTTATAAATATAAATGAACAATTCTAACCGTTTTTATGCGAAGTAACGCAAAATGAGGGAATTAAAATAAACCACTTTCAGTTTTTGAGCATTTTAACATCAGAATACCCGTGAATTAATTTCTTGTTTATAAAATATTCGTGTATAAAATTTTGCTAAAGCTGTTGTTTCTTTTCTTGTAATACAGGGTAATTTCTGTAATTAAATATACAGAGCCGGAGACTACGTATGACAGAAGGTGTTAACAAAATTTTACAAATGCTGGTAAACTTATAACTATTAGCATACCTGCTTATTCAAGGTAAAAATATTATGTATTTAAATACAACAGAGTTTTGAATATAAAGCACTACGTTAAGTTTTTTTAGAAGCTAACAAAAAGGTGCAAATTTTTCGCTCGTTCATTTAAACGAAGAATAATTGAACAGTTGTACTTTCCTTTTCGGTTTTGAAGCCAAAAAAATCAAATACTTTAAATTTCTATGTTGTTAGCCTACTTTACTTTATTACAACTTATTTTCTGTATTGTGTACTACTTTACTACTACAGGATATTTCATAATGGGGGTTCAAACTGTAGATGACTATTGTTGCAGTACCGTTAACCCGGATAAAATATTTATGGACATATGCAGAAAATGACACACCGAAAAGAAAAATTTCAGATGTTTTTATGAGATGCACGAGAGTTTTGTGGTGAAGTGGACATCTGAGAAATAAATTTAGGAGAGACGACATTCCATGCAGGCGAGAAAGTAGACACGAAGTAGTTTGATTATGAACATAAATTGCTATCCTCAGAAGAGAAGTTTCTAGTTCAGTTTCTTTAACGATATTTACTGATGCAGTGCCAGCACCGATAAAAGAACGTTTTTTGATATTAAATCATAAGAATAATATTTTTCATTTTTGTATGATTTACATGAAATTATTAATTAACTGCTGGGTAACTGCAGGAGAAATTTCATTTCTAAATATTATTAAGCCCATAGTTTTAAGGTACTTTCTAAGTAATAAGATTTTATTTTCGTAACTCAATTTAATTTTTTCCTCAGTTCTTTTACGTAGGGGGTGGGCGAGATAATATAGTTAAAGCACTTTTTTCGAACTGTTGTTTCGAACTGAAAAGTTCTAAGTACAGCGGAGGGAAAAAGGAAGGACTCCAGAGTTCTCCTATTTAAATCTATCAAGATAAATTAATTCGGTGCGTTCGATATCTGTTTCTAAATCGTTCACGTGCTAATGTTCGAATTTCGAAATAAGCTTTTCGGAAATGAATCTCAGTTAGGCTTTCCGCTTACATTCTTTTTTGTAAATTTGTTACCATCAATAAAATAAGTTCAATAATTTGTGTCGATATAAAGGGACAAGAGATAAAGAATTCAATTGAAAAATGATTGCATAGTGAAGTAGAATGACATAACTGAAATTGTAGGCCCGGCCATTTGACATTAAGCTCAGCGATTTTATTTCAGTTTCGCTGGAAGCTCTGTAAATCAAATTTAATTTACGTCTGTGCAAATGCTTTAATTTCTTGTATTTGTAATAAGAAATTAAGCGAAGAATTTTAAAATATTTAAAAGAGGGGAAGCTGAGTGATGAAAGAACACTAAAGCAATTCCTTTAAGGAAACGAAATAAGCGGTTAATGTTAAACTTAAGGAAGAATGGCAATCTTAATCAATTTGATTAAAGTAACAATCAGTTAAGTAAGATGTAAATTTTCTATAATTTCGTTGTATAAATTAATGCATTTAAAATTCTTTCAGATCTGTCTGGACACTCTTTGTAGAGTTACGAATTTTAGATTTTTTAATTTCTTTTTGAAAAAGATGACTGAAAGCTGGAAATATTAGGAAATGCATTGATATTATTAGGCATGATGAGAAATTATTAGGCTTCAGGTAATTTATGATTTTTGAATTAAAATTATAAATTGAATGGAAATAAATTTTGTTACATGTATGACATTTTGCATTTTAGTACGCTGAAATTCCACTGCCATGTCAACTGCCTGAGGTGGTATCACATTGAAATGTTGGTCATGTGATAGACAAATGCATGGGAAACTTAAGATGCAACCTTCATTAAAGCTTTCGTAATTGTACTTCTAATGTGTTTCTTCTTAAATGTACTTCTAATAGTTTCTTCTTACCAAAACGAATTTTTAATCAATTTTTCATTTATTCTTCTAATTACAAACTTTTTCTTTTTCCGGTCTTTATATCTATTCCTGAAAAATATTTGAGTTGGAAGAAAAATAAAAACTACAATTTATTAATTAAACTACAAATTATTAATTATATGTATATTATGAAAATATGAATTTTGCATACATTATTTTTATGAATGAAACTATTAATTATCTCTGTGAATTTAGCACGTAAATGTGTGGACCTGTATGTGTTCACCTTCTTAAAATGTAGCAAATATTTCATTTACCGAATTTTTGCTCTACAAAGACAATACGACTTTACATAATCTTTCCCTTTCCCATAGAGCTGTTGATTTTATTACAAAATTCTATGCTTTATTTTGACAAACTCTACAGTTGATAATAAATTTTTAACATCAAGAATAATAAGAACTGTGAAGACGTACCTTCAGTCAGTAAAAGAACTAAGGAAATTTCATTGAAAAATGAGTTCGCTTGACGCAGTTTTAGATTACTATTTAATCATGAGTTTCTGTACTTAGCTGTGCCCACCAGCGGTCGAGCCGTTAAGTCGCTAAACACTGGTAGTTCGGTCCGTGGTTCAAATTACGCGAACGGGCTGGCTGCATGGACGTTTTCGTGGTTTTTCCCATATGTAACGTGGATGTGAGCCAGTTTCAAGAGTCCTTCACGCAGGCATCTCTTCCCTTAGGCAGACAGCCCTCGAGACTTTTTCTTAATTACATCAAACCAAACTGCACTTAGCTGTACTGGAGACAGCAACATGATTATGTTCTCCCTTTAGTTAGTAAGAAGGTTAATAAATTGCAGAATGCATGATTTTGGACAAATCTTCATGTGAAATGATCTTCGAGTAGGGATTAAAAATCGGCAAAGAGTGTTAAATGAACTAAAAACTCGGAAACGCTTTTGAGGCCTTTTCAGCAAGTATTCATCAGATAAGAACAAGACGACTTCGTATGTAGATAATACCAAAGATTTTATTTACGCGATTTGCTGTTATCTCCTTTCTGCTGTTACGAGACCAATGAATTTTGAAAACGGTTCTTCTATAAACGAATTCTTCAGAACCGAACATTTATTTCTTCGAGACAGTGTTATTCTTTGTCTTCGAATTACAGAAAGGTAACAGTCTTTCTACTGTTAGAGGTTTGAAACATTTTTTCTAGTATTTAAATTTTTTGGTTTGATATAATTTTTCATCTTTTTCTTTGCATAGTACAGTGTTTTTTCGTTTTCTTATAATGTAATCCACAAGTATATATTTCTTTTGGAGCGCTTCGAATTAAAGTTATACTCCTTAAGCTACGAATGAATTATACAAATACTCTTTTCCAAACTCATATTTTGATTTTTCTGAAACATTGATTAATATTTGCTTTAATTTTAAACTTCAGGAATTCGTTATAATTTCCTTTTTCTTTCCCGCAGTTTTTTCTAAAATTTCCTTTTGTTTTTCTTTCCTCTCAGCCTTTTGTTAGCTCTCATAGTTTCGCCACTTTTATTACGTGATGAAAAGATCAATTTATTTGAACAAATTTGTTTGAATCATTTGTATTTCAATTTTCACGCCTAGATCATGTATGTAAATTTATTCTATTTCATTACCACGATTGAGAGTTTATAAGGGTCTTATAATTTTGAAATCGAGAATAAAAATGAAGCTCGCACTTTAAATGTATTTATCATGCTGAAAAATTATCGTAAGCTTTAAGCAGTTTTTAAATGTTTCCAGTTGTGCAAAAATATTTTTATTGCTGTTTTATCCGAATCCTACACGAATGGCATTAAATGCACTTTCCGTTTTCTGTAAAAGAAATGGAGAATTTATGGAGAAATGTACAGAACTCTACACGAATAAGTAATTCTTCTAAAATCATCTTTTACCTTCCGCTCTAATAAGTTG